CTGAAAGACAGTCTAAGTGAAAAACTTAGTCTCTAAATCCTGAAAATAATAGAGGAAATTGACAAGTTTCCTCTTTGACACAACGGATTTAAGTTTTAGTGAACTCTTATCCTTCCTACTCCTCCTCCTCAGCTCCACTCCCAACCCTACCGTCTCTCTTCACAGTCCTATTAGGGTTTTCTTGATTAATATAGATGAATTTAAGTACTGGGATTCCGAAGTAAATACCCTCACTTTTGTTTTCAGACAAAATTGTGCCTTAAGAATAGATTTTTAGGGCAATTTGATAGATTCTCAGGGGCTTGAGGTCTTTAGACAGCTCCCAAACTTCTGCCTCATGCTGGCTTTCCACTCTGCCTACTTGTGGGATGACTTATATTGAGGTGCATTTGAAATAAAACTTACTATCTTCCCAAGTGACCACACTAAATACTCCTCATTACTTTGAAATACATTTCTACCAAAGGCAGCTGAACTGGGGGAAAGAGGAAGAAGTTAGAGGGGGCAGAAGAAAACTTAAAAACTGAATTTCATCACTGCAATAGAATAGACAATCCAAAAGGAGATCCTAATAATTATGTGAATTTATTATAATATACATTTCAAATAAGTGAGGGAAATGATGAATGATTTAATAAAAAGTGCAGAACAACTCATTAACTAATTGGGAAAAACAATTAAATTGTACTACAACCTTATTTCTTAAATCAAAATAACTTTGCATAGAGCAAAGATAGATAGATAGATTGATTGATTGATTGATTTATGTATGTATGTATGTATGTATGTATGTATGTCCTTTTTTTGAGACCGGCCGCACCGCGCTCAGCCAGTGAGCGCACTGGGCCGTCCCTATATAGGATCCAAACCTGCGGCGGGAGTGCTGCTGCGCTCCCAGCGCCGCACTCTCCCGAGTGCGACACGGGCTCGGCCCTGGAGCAAAGATTTAAATATGAAACATGCAACTATAAAATATGTACAGTACTAGAAAAAAAATATGGGGTGATATTTTCATAAGCTTGGGATAAAAAAAGGCCTTTCTAAACACCTCACAGAACTTAACGACCATGAAGGAAAAAAAAAAAAAAAACCCAAAAAACTCTGAGAAATTTTAATGCAAAACTAAATGAAAATAGGCTTAAAGATAAACAGCAAACTGAGAATCTATATAAGCAACCGATGTGACATGTCTTACATGTACAAAGAGCTCTTAAGTATCAGTTTAAAAACTCCATAGCTCAACAGCACAATGTGAGCTGACATCACCCAACAGACAATTCATAAAAGAAATCAAATGATCAAAAATCATATGCAAACGCTTTAATCTAGTTTGGTATCAGGATAAAAATAAAGATGATTTTTCATGTCTTAAATTGGAAGTCCTTAAAAGATTAGCAGAAGGTAGACTGGTAAAGAAGTGGAGAGGAAGGAGCTCTCCCTGCACTGTGAGTAGTAGTGGAAATTAACGCAACATTTCTGGAGGGAGTTTGGTGATATGTGTGAATAATTACAATTTGTAAATACAAATTACAATAATATTTACAATTTGTATACTCTGACCCACTAATCCCCCTTCATGGATCTACCTGAAAGAAATAATTACTCAAATGTGAAAATATGTGTGAATAAGGATGTTCATTACAGCTTTGCTGTGCTAAAAATCCAAAAAATTAAAAACAACCTTAAAATCATCGGTAGGAGATACTATTGTTCCCAATCATCAATCCGATTTATGATAAAGCTCTGTATTTTACTGACATGAAGAGATTTCCATAACATAATGCTGAGGGAAGTAAGCAGTTTACTGATTGCTTCCAGAACCTCATGTTTAATCCATTCCAGTTATGCAAAATTTAGCTATTTAATATGTAGCGAGAAGTCTATAAGGATGTTCTTCAAAATGTTAAGACTGGTTTCCACTGGACAGAAGATTTTAAGAAAATTAAAAAAGAAACTTTCTGATTTATATTTTTCTGTAATGTTGGAATTTTAAAAAATAAGTATGCATCATGCTTAAAAAGATATTAAAGCTATTCCCAAAGGGAGAAAATATTATTATCCTCAAGCTAATCCTTTACACTTTTATTTTATTTTAGTTTTGGTGGCTGGCTGGTATAGGGATCTGAACCTGTGACCTTGGTGTTACAAAGCTCTGCTCTAATCAGCTATACTTTTATTTTTTAACCGAGGAAAGAGTATGGTCTAATACTCATTTTGGAGGATAATCTCTGGATTATCAAAGGGAAATGTTTTTCACGTTGTGGTCCTGGGTTATCTCTATCAGAATCATGATGTTTTTAAAATCATGATGCAGAATCAAAATCTATGATGCTTTTTAAACATAGAGTTCCCAGACCCCTTCCCTACCACTACTTTACTCCAACCAAACACAATAAATCACATATGGGAGGTGGGGTCCGACATGGTTCCCAGTCACTCCTGGTGATATGTTAAGTGTATTTAAACCTGAGATCCACTGCTTAGAGGAAGAAAAAAACAAAAGGTTAGTGAGTTTACCTGTGTCATTCATATTTATATTTATAGCCATCTTCTCCTATTTCTCTCTCTTTGTCTCTCCACCTGTTTTCCCACAATCTACAGAAGCTGAAATCAAGATGAACTAAGGGCATTGAATATGAGGTGTTTTAGGGATTAAAATATTTAGGAAAACTCACAGAATAACTGATATTCATAGCAACCACTAATCCTTTTGTCTCGATTTCTGTCTCTTCTTACCTGGTACTTGGGTTTTTGATGAAGCCAGTGTTTATGAAATTAGGACAGAGACATGTTGTTTTGACTCCAGTTCTTTTAAAGGCAGCCAGTTCCTCAGTCAAAGCTCTGTGAAATCCAACAGCAGCAAACTTGCTTGAACTGAAAATAAACAGAGAGAGTTTGCAAAATAGTTCAAGAATACTGACATGTCGGATTAATTCAGATGCCTGTTTGTTTTCCTTAGTTAAGTGTGTCCTCCGATGAGTGGCATGAGCATCACATGAATCTGAAGCCCCAGAACAGGCCTCCTGAATCAGACTGTGCATTTTATAAGATCCTTAGGCACATTCAAGTCTAAGCATTCACTGCATCACCACATCCTTTATTTGAGTGAAAAGTCAGTATGTTAAATGTCTTGTTAGGATAATTGGTAGAGTGTTTGTTGCTGTTTCCATAAAATTCAATGTCGCTATAAGATGTTCATTATTTATTATAAAATGTTCATGGAATTCTTTTCATTTTAAGTCTTCAGTATATGTCTCAGCTTAAAAGAAAGTGAGAAAAACTTTCCACAGCTTTCTATTTTCCAAAGCACAGGTTAATTGGCAGCCTTTTCTGGAAGCCAATTTGACAAACAGTAACAAATTCCTTAAAAATGTGTCATGCTCTTAATGCCAATAATTTCTCTTTTAAGCATTTATCCTAAGGAAATAATCAACCGTGTTTCCAAAGACGTCCTTATGTTCAAGGATAGTCCCTACGGTATAGTTCATGAAAGCCAACAGTTGGAAACAATTTTAAATGTCTGTTTTTGCCCATCGGCATTGATATCACCTTGTTCCAGTACATACAGTGATTGGATTCAAGTAGGTCAGGTCACTGAACTCTAGAACTAGAATGTTTGAAAGCATTATTGGGAAGTGATTTTTCCCCTCCTGCTGGACTTGCAGTTTAAAGGCTGTACCTGTGAAATTGCTGGTAGCTATCTTGCCACCAGAGGAGGGGAGGCCGCCTGAAACTTCAACTACAGAGCTAAAAAATCTCTCTTTTGGTCTGGGGTAGTTTAAGTTTTGTGTTTCTTGGAACTAAAAGAGTCCCAACAAATAAAGTCCCAACAATAATGAATATAATGAATAAAGAGTGGCACATATGTACAGTGGCAGGATTGAAAATAATGTTGCACATATATATTTGTTAACATGCAAATCTTATTCATTTAAAATTTTAAGTGCAATATTATTTGTGCAGATTTTTTTCAATGCATGGCTATATATTTGCATTAAAAAATCATAATAAATGCTTACCATGATTATTTCGGTATGGTGAGATTATTAGTACATATTCTTTTTGCTTTTACTAAACAGTATTTTCTAATTTTCCTTAAGTGTACCAAAAGTGCAGGGATATATTGAAACTCAGAGTTAATAATCATGAGGATGTTAAAGGAATAGTATATTTTTTAACTTTAGGGTGAACCTGTATATAGGCATACACGTATATATGAAAGTTAAAAGTAAATAGATTTTTTTTCCCCTGCAACATTTTTTGTAACATTATATCAAATTCTTTTTTATCAATAGTCAAAATGATATCAAATTCCTTCTTATAAATAACACAAATTAGTATTTCTTATTCCAAATTATTCTTTTAAATAACATTTCATTACAAGCTAATAATGAGGATTCAGTTTTCCTGAGTGTTCCCATACTGGTAATTTTCATGCTTATAAACTGACTATTTGGGTTGAGAAAGTATATTAGCCAGCTAATTATTTCCTATTTAAAATCAAGATACTTGTGAACAAAATACTTAGCAAGCGGCATAGAACATTTTAGAATAGAACCAAAGATTTACCCTCCCCCACCATGAATCCAATTCTTCCATCTTCATGTTTCACATTAATCATTAAAACTGTTAAACTCTAACTCCAAAAAGAAATAAAAAAATTTTTTCCTAAAATAGATGATTAGAGCTGTAATACAGTCATTCGCTGTGGCTTCAGCAATTCAGGACAGTGATAGCTGAGGACTGGATTACACAGAAAAAGAGTCATTTTTTCCTAAAATAGATGATTAGAGCTGTAATACAGTCATTTGCTGTGGCTTCAGCAATTCAGGACAGTGATAGCTGAGGACTGGATTACACAGAAAAAGAGTCAAGTTATTCTATGTTCCCCTCATTCATTCCAACAATCAGGAATTAGAGCATATATGATCAGTCCCACTGGGGCAGAGCATTTCTGGAAGATAAATTGAGAGGTGGGACCGTACTGTTTTGTGTATATATAAAGAAGTGGAATTGGAGCATAATACCAACAGGTACCCTCCTGTTATTGAACATGTACAGGATTCCAGATTCTATGCTAAGTGCATTACATTATATGGTTTACACTTTACAGAACCTTAATAAGTTAGATTATTAAGTTATATAAGCCTCAACTAATAGATAGGCTATTACTAACCTATCATATGGATGAGGAGAATGAAGCACCGAGAAGTTGAGTAATTTGCCTAAGGTCACACAGCTAGTAAGTGATTGAGTCAATATTCATAATGTCTTTATTCATAATAACCTTGTCTGGAAATAAGTCAAATGCTCATAAACAGCAGAATGGGCAAATAAATCGTGGTGTAGTCTTATGAAGCAACACTTTACAACCATGAAAATGATCAAACTATAGCTACCAACTAAAACATGAATACATCTCACAAATATAGTGTGATTCCATGTATACAAAGATCAAAAATAGGCAAAATTAATCTATGTTGTTACAGTCAATATAGTAGTTACCTCTGGGAAGCAAGGAAGGTTGGTGATTGGGAAGAGTTCCAAAAGGGTCTTCTGGAGTCTTGTAATGTTCTACTTTTTTGACCTGAATGATAGTTAAATGGATGTGTCCACTTTGCAGTAACTCATTGAGCTATACACTTATGATTTCTTCATTTTTATAAACGTATGCTATATTTCAATAAAAATGTTTTGTTTGAGGGCCGAGCCTGTGGCGCACTCGGGAGAGTGTGGCACTGGGAGCACAGCGGCGCTCCCACCGGGGGTTTGGATCCTATATAGGGATGGCCAGTGCGCTCACTGGCTGAGTGCGGTGCGGCCGGTCTCCAAAAGTACAAAAAAAAAAAAAAAATGTTTTGTTTGAAAAAGCGAAAACCAGAGCAAAATAAACTGAAGATAATTGTGGGCAGTAAGGATCATAGGCTGCAGCAGCTCAGGTCAGTGATAGCTGAGGACTCCAAAGAGGAATTCTGCAAGGGCTAGCAAACCACAGATCTGTCACAAAGCTGGAAGTGTACAAGCTGCTCTGTGCTTGCAACCCTGCTTGTTAGCTTAAATGGCACACTTTTGGGGCCGGCCCGGTGGCGCACTGCTACAGTGCGCCACTTGGGAGTGTGGCGGCGCTCCCGCCGAGGGTTCGGATCCCACATACAGACCGGTTCCCGCTCACTGGCTGAGTGAGGTGCGGGCGCAACACCAAGGGTTGCGATCCGTTGCCAGACACGAAAAAAGACAAAAATAAATAAATAAATAAAATAAATGGCACACTTTTGTGAATTTTTTTTTTTTTTGTCCTTTTTGAGACCGGCCGCACCGCACTCAGCCAGTGAGCACTGTGAGCGCACCGGTCATCCCTATATAGGATCCGAACCTGTGGCGGGAGCGCTACTGCGCTCCCAGCGCCACACTCTCCCGAGTGTGCCATGGGCTCGGCCCTTTTGTGAATTTTTTTTTTCCTTTTTGTCTTTTTGACTGACCGGTAACAGGATTGCAACCCTCAGTGTCGCGCCCACACCGCGCTCAGCCAGTGAGCGGGAACCGGTCTCTATGTGGGATCTGAACCCTCGGCGGGAGCGCCCCCACACTCCCAAGTGGCGCACTGTAGCAGTGCGCCACCGGGCCGGCCCACCTTTTGTGAATTTTTTTTTTCCTTTTTGTCTTTTTGACTGACCGGTAACAGGATTGCAACCCTCAGTGTCGCGCCCACACCGCGCTCAGCCAGTGAGCGGGAACCGGTCTGCATGTGGGATCCGAACCCTTGGCGGGAGCGCCGCCACACTCCCAAGTAGCGCACTGTAGCAGTG